GGTTGTAAGATATGGATAATGAATGTAGAGTGCTTAGAAAACTTTTAGGCCCATAGTAAGGCCTCAAAAAATGTTAGCTAGTATTATCATTATCATTCTTACCACATGAACTCTGTGAAAGTTCTGAAAGAAAAGAAATATGAAATGATTTGTCTAAAACACAGAACAAACAAGTGCCAGAATCTAGGGGGGAAAAAATCTTCATTTTAAGTCCAGAAGATTAACCATTAAAAATCAGTGGGTTGAGTGTGGTGGCTCCCGCCTGTAATCCTAGCACTTTCGGAAGCCAAGGCTGGATCACTTGAGCCCAGGAGTTCAAGACCAGCAGAAACAGCAACATGGCAAAACCCCTTCAATACAAAAAATGCAAAAATTAGCTGAGTGTGCTGGTGCGCACCTGTAGTCACAGCTACTTGGGGGGCTGAGGTAGGAGGATCACTGGGGCCCAGGTGGTTGAGGCTGCAATGAGCTGTGATGGCACCACTGCACTCCAGCCTAGGCAAGAGAGAGAGCTGGTCTCAAAAAAAAAAAAAAAAAAAAAAAACCCAGTGATTCTTCAAGTAAGTACATTTTCCAGTCCCTCTAAGTCTCCCGGAAATTACATGGGGATCCCTTAAGTTAAAATAGCAGCATCGAGTAGTGGATATAGTACAGATATGAACCAAGAAGACCCACTTGCTCCATCAATTACTTAGGTGTACAACCCTAAGCAGGTCACCTAACCTTCAAATTGCTCATCTCAAGATGTTCTGCCTTTATCACAGGGTTGTTGAGATCAAATAAGACAATGTATGAAAAAATGTATGTAAACCAATAAAACACTACATGAATGTTCAAGGGCCATGTCTTATTCATCTTTATATCCCCAACGCCTAGCAAAATGCATGGCAGAGATTATAATCTAAAAAAAAAGCCATGGGAGGGGTTGGCAGGGCAAAGATTCGATGAAAATGGGGAGGAGTTTAAAAAAACAAGAAACTTGGCCAGGCGCAGTGGCTTGCAACTGTAATCCCAACACTTTGGGAGGCTGAAGCAGGCAGATCACTTGAGGTCAGGAGTTCAAGACCAGCCTGGTCAACATGGTGAAACCCTGTCTCTACTAAAAATGAAAAAATTAGCTGGGCATGGTGGTACATGCCTGTAATCCCAGCTACTAGGGAGGGTAAGGTGGGAGAATTGTTTGAACATGGGAGGCAGAGGTTGCAGTGAGCCAAGATTGCGCCACAGCACTCCAGCCTGGGTGACAGAGACAAACTCCGTCTCAAAAAATAATACAAGAAACTCAAATGCCCATCAACTAAAGCAATGGATATCAATGTGGTGTATCCATACAGTGGAATATTATTTGGCAATAAAAAGCAATGAAATGCTGATACATGCTACATGGATGAGCCTTGAAACATATGCTAAGTGAAAGAAGTCAGACACAGAAGACCATATGTTGTATGAAATGCCCACAACAGGCATTTGAAATTGTCAACATATCTATGAGATGGTAAGTGCATTAGCATGGCTGCCTGGAGGTGGGGGTATGGGAAATGACTGCCAATGGGTACAAGGCTTCTTTTAGAAATGTTGTCCTAAAAATGACTCTGGTGATGGTTGCACAACTCTGTGATTACACTAAAAACCACTGACTTGTATACTTTAAATGAATGAATGATAGGGTATGTGAATTATATTTCAAGAAAGTTAGGTTTTTTTAAAAATAAGATAAATTTAAGAAGAGAAGCGTTAAAGTATAAAATCACTGGCTTTGGAACATAAGTTCGTTTCTTTTTTAAAGAAAATACTAAGACTTACCATATCAGATCGTAATGTCTCTACAAATCCTGTCACCTATTCTTCTCCAGCAAATCTGTCACCTATTCTCCTTCCTTTCAAATTTCTCTCTAAGGTTACAAATTATCCCCTCTGGCTTAATTCAATTGTCTTTTCATTGTAGTCACTGTTTCTGAACTTCTATACTGCATTTGAAACTGTCAACACCCTGCCTTATAGAAAATCTTTCTATCCTTGGCTTCTGCGGAACTGATGCACTTTCTGGTTCTTCTCAGAATGCTATTTGGGTCCCCTATTATGGGACCCAAAATTCCAAACCTCAAAGTTCTTTCTTCATTATACTACTATCTTCCCAACACACATCTACTGATGTGTTCTACTAGCATCTATATCTCTGGTCAGTGCAAAATCTACCTTTCATCTAACTGTTCATTATATATAGAAATAATTACATGCGTGAGGTTAAGTAACTTGGCCAAAGTACCTTCTGATTTTAATATCTCATTCAGATTTAATGAATTAAACACATGTAAGGAGCTTAGAACAATGTCTGGCATACAGTAAGTAGTCAATAAATGTTAGCTATTATTTTATTCCCACAACCACTATCTTATATCAGACCCTCATAATCTTATTCCTAAAAGTCTCCAAGAGCATTCCAGTCAGTCTCTCCGCTCCCAGGACACTCAGCTGATATAAAAAACCTTCCTCAGGAACAAAATGCATCCTCTTACTCTCATTCTTTAGAATCCCTTGTGGTATCCTATCAAACTAAACCCCCTATCCTTGAAAGATCCTCCACCAATACCCCCTCGCCAATCCCAAACTCATTTATTATTCACCAACACAGATGATCTGACAGTCAAGCTACTTGATATCCTTTGCACACTGCCACTTCTCTGCCTTTGCACAGGCCCCTTCAACTCTCCTGAAATACACCTCTTCCCCGTTGGAAATTTGTATCTTTTTCAAATGTCACTTATACTTTTGACTTTGGTTGTATCGTTATCCCAAGGAGAAATCTGATGGTGTTTAGTAATTCGGAAAGATGAACATGTTGTTTCCCCAACAGAAGAAACAACTCTGTTCTTTTGACGTAAGTTTAAGCTTTCCAAGAGACCACATATCTTATTCGTCTCTTCATACCGACTACTTCACACATAGATAACACCGTACTTCACAGAAGTACACAAATGCTGACTGACTTACCAAAAAAGAAAAAAAAAAACTCAGTATGTATCAGAACAACATTCTCTATTTTCCACTGCCCCACCCATATTTAGCATAATGAAAGCAGACAGAATCTAGAATCTATATTTAAATATTTTCATTCTACATAGAAGGAAAAGGAAGAATACATGAACTGTACCAGATAAAAGGAAAAAATGTCAAAAACACACTCAAAGAATGTACAATGTGAAAAACAAATCAAGGGAGAATGCAGGCCACTTTGGAATCTAACAAGCGACTCTGAAACATTAAGATTTTTTATTTTACCCAAACAAATGAACAAAAAATAGCCAAAATAAACACGTTCCGGCCTCATCCAAAAAAAAAAAATCTAATAAAAGCATGAAAACTTCCCACTTTTGTCCTCAGCAGCACAAAACCAAGACTCACCTCAATTCTGAGACACAAAAGCAAAAAGAGAAATCCTCCTATTTAAAAAAGTTAATCACATCTATAATATATGCCACTCAGAAAAAGAGAGAGGAGTTACTGCTTTTCTATAAATACTTGCTAGGGACCAGGAGGAATAGGCTTCTCTCACTGTTACTGTGGTCTATTGGCCTATTCCTGTACACGGGAGCAATCTGTAGTCTCAAAAGAGCAAAATGGAAGATGGAAACCTTAATCTGGAAGAGACATTAAGAAAAAAAACTACTCAAAACACGTTTCAAACCAGTTTCGAAAATGGGAGTGCAATGGGTATGCAACAGAGTAAAAGTGAAGTAAAAGAGCTTCTACAAAGTAAGTGACTAGGTGAAACTAGTGCTGCCTTATGAGAAAAAGAGCTATGTATATAACGCTCCTATGGTATGCTTTTTCACTGGGAAACAAAACAGAAGGAAGAAAACAAACACAAATAAATGTTAAAAAAAAAAAAAAAAAAAAAAAAGACCAAAAAGGTGCCCACCAATCTCTAAACTCCCTGGCTCTAACTCATTCAGGAATCTAACTAGGGACAACACAGATGTGGACCGCACCAACAAGGAATAGAAAAACCTTTGCCAATCAGACACGCAAAAAGTAAAACAGAAATGACAGATATACACCTCAATACATCCGTAGCAAGCGCTTATTCTCTCTTTATGATTAAGCAATAGAGAAAAGAATAAGAGCTGCTAATGGAAGACGAGAAAAGATGTTAATGAAACTAAGCCCTGTTATGTCCCCTACTGGCCTCAATTTCAGAGTACAACTCTTGATTCCTCATCTAACCAAAAGTCGGCCTCAGCAAAGCAAACTGACCCTAACGTCTTCCATGCCACCCGGAGGAAATCACAGAGGAAAAACCATCCCGTTACCCTCCCTCCTCACCAGCTGCAAAAATGGAGTGGGGGGGGCGGGAGACACTCTACCACGTGGGCAGGATGCAACACACACAGGACAGCAACACGTCCGCACGGAACGGCTGCCTTTGCCCTAATCCCAGCAAAGGACACCGACACAGGATGGGCGGGAACGCAGGCCCCCTTGCATGGGCCTCCTCACCCCAAAGGGCCACCCCGAAGCGTGAGGTACGCTCGCCCTGCCGGCAGAAAAGCGCCCCCAAGCTTGAAGGGAAAAAGCCGCAGAGTGCCGGGGTCGGGGGCTAGCCCAGGCCAGGGGACAGGTCACGGAGGGAAAGAGACAGTCGCAGCCTTCGGACTCGGCGCCCCCGGGATCTACCTCTGGTTCCCCGGGGCCCCGCCTGGGGGAGGGGCGGGAGGCGCGGAGCCGCGGCTTTCCAGCTGAGGGGCAGCAGCAGCTGAGGAGAAGCGCCGCGGGGGAGGGAGGGACCCAGCCCTCGGCGCCCGCCAGGCCGCGGCCCCGGCCCGGGCCCGGGCCCCAGCCCAGGCCCCCTGCCCCTCCCGCGGCCACTTCGCAGCGCGGCCGCGGCTAGAAGAGACAGGGCGTCTCGCGGAGGGCAGCCCCTGCCTCAGTCCCGGGAGATGCCCCAGCCCCGCCTCCTCGCCCGCCGCCCAGGTCCGGCCGCCCAGGCGGCGGGCACTTACCTCAGGCTGCGCAGGCCGGGACGGCCCGGCCGAGCCCCCGGCCGCTGCGTGAGTCTCCGCCCCCAGGGAAAGGTCCCAACGGTGCCTAGTGCGAGCGGTCGAGGCCCCGAGCAGCGCCGAAAGCAGCGGCGGCAGCAAGAGCAGCCAACATCCGGGGCCGCGCACCCGGAACTACTTCCCGACCCGCATTCTCCCCCCCCCCCCCCCCCCCGACCTCGCCACCGCCGCCGCCGCCTCTTGCGACGTCGCTGCGTCAAGTCCAGCGCGGTCACGACTGCTTCGACGCGCGCGGGATCCCTCCGCTGGGACAAGTAGTGCCCTGAGGCTGCCGGGGCTCTGCCTCGGCGCAGCTGGTGTCATCTAGCAGCCGGCAGTTCCGAGCGATTTGGGGTCCCTGTGCCTTGGAGTGGCGTCTGGAGAGTGAGGGCGGCGGAGGCTGCCCCGCAGTTGAGGACAGTAGGGATCGTTGGTTTTGAACCCTGCCCACGGATACCTGGGGCCCCATGACCCCAAGGAATGGTGCCAAATGTCCTTCCCCGCCCCCCAACCTCCGCCACCTCACCGTAGCGACAGGCACCTTAGCCTCCTCTCCAGGAAACCTGACGCCTTTTCCGACCTGGCACACCGCGGATTCCGGGACCCCCAACAAAGGCGCCTTGGACCTTCAGGACACCCCTCCTTTCAGAGCTTCATGAGCCCCAGGTGCTAGACGCGTCTCTGCCGAGGCCTTTCCCGTACCTGGTCTTACTTTCCTTCTTAAGGCAAAGGAGTTGGAACTCTAAAGGCCCTTCTGATTCTCAAGGTAGCTACCCAGGTTATGGTCCTGCTATCAGTAGGCGGTACGTTTAGAAGGGGTAGTTTTGGTCGACTATTGAACTTTGGAATTTACTTCTACGTCGGTCTTCACTGATTCTTTCTCTAAACTATTAACACTGAATCTGGCCTATAATTTCACACTTAATTGCATTCCAGAGTATTATTTGCTGTTGCTTCATTCGCGTTAGTCACATATTCCCCTGCAGTACCAAACACACTTTTGAACTCACATTGGGTGGCTCAATATTTGGAGACTTAGATATTTGTTAAATGAGTACTAGGCTGGTGGGATGAGAGGAAAAGGAGAGGCATGAGTGAATTGGCCCTGGGTAGTTTTTTGACATAGCCTCAAAGGGTTCAGATAAAGATCTCCAACAGATCGGAGCATACAATTCCTTCAGTAAACATTGAACACCTGCCATTTGTCAAGCATTTCTGGGCACTGGGGATTCAAAACACTCACATATTCCTTTTCTTTATAGGACTAGGAAGATTCTGAACGTTCATGTACTCATTCACTTAACAAATATTTGCCAATCACTGCTAGGGTTGCCAGATACTATTTTAGTGCTTGGGATGTATCAGTAAACAGGAGAGAGAGAAAACAAATACTCTTCCCTCTTGGAGCATTCATTCTATTATAAGGAGAAAGATGATAAATATAAGAGAATTATGTAATATGTTAGAAGGCATTGGGTGCTGTAAAAAAAAATACCAGGGTAAGGGGTACGAGGAAAACTGGAAGAAGGGGGTTTGCAATTTTTTTTTTTTTTTTGAGAGGAAATTCCGCTCCATCGCCCAGGCTGGAGTGCAGTACTGTGATCTCGCTCACTGCAACGTCCGCCTCCCGGGTTCAAGTGATTCTCATGCCTCAGCCTCCTGAGTAGCTGGGATTACAGGTGCGTGCTACCACGCCCAGCTAATTTTTGTATTTTTAGTAGATACAGGGGTTTCACCATGTTGACCAGGCTGGTCTCAAACTCCCAACCTCCCAAAGTGCTGGAATTACAGATGTGAGCCACGGCACCGGGCCTGCAATTTCAAATACAGCCATCAGCGTGGGCCTCATTCATAAAATGACTTTAATCAGAGATCTGAAAGAGTTGAGGGAGTCAGCCATGCAGTCGTCTGGGGAAGAGTGTCCCAGGCAGAAGGAATAGCTAGCTGGTGGAAAGGTCCCCCAGATGAAAGTCTCAGGAAGTGTTAGAAATAACAAGGAGGCCATAGCCAGTTAGAGCAGTGTGAGCAAATGGGAGCTGAATGAGGAGATAAGGTCAGAGAGAGGGGTCTTGAAGGCAACTGTAAACAGAACCACTGCTGGGCTTTGAACAGAGGAGTGATATGATCTGACTCACACTTTCAAAAGGCCAGTGCTAAGAGCAGACCATAAAAGGACCAAGGTGGAAGCCAGAGGCTACATTACCCAGGTACAAGATGATGGCTTGAACCGGATAGTAGCAATGAGTAAGATAAATAAGACGCAATCTCAGCCGGGCACAGTGGCGCTAGACTATAATCTCTGTTATTAAGGAGGCTGAAGCAGGAGAATAGGACCACTTGAGCCCAGGAGATCAAGTGCAACCTGGGCAACTCAGCAAGCCCCCATCTCTAAAAAAATTAATAAAGTACAGTCTGTCTACTTTAAGAACTCATAGTCTAGTGGGAAGCAGGTAGATTAGATAATTACAATGCACTGTGATTAAGGATTCTGAAGAGGAGGACACGCTTGCCAGATTTCCTTAGAGAGGGTAGAAGTTTCCAGAGCTTCAAGTTGCCAAAGGCATTGGAAGTTTCTAATTATTTGTTGGGCCATAAGGTAGATCCCTGATAACATGGCTAACACTCATCTTCCCAGCCTTTCAGGTCTCAAAACCTACAATCATCTGAGTGGAGTTCTAGGTAGAAGGATACTAAAAAGCAGTCTGGGTCACGCATTTAAGGAGGTGGACCAAGCTGATATTATCGCCATTTGTCAGAAGACAATGAGGCCAGCAGTCACCAGGTTTTAACTTGAGACTGGGATCAAGATCATAAAAGTCCCAGACAAAGAATCTCTCTGAGCCAGTTGAGTACAGTCACCCAGATGGTAGAGTTAAAGAGTAGAGAAACTTGACTGGGCACAATGGCTCACACCTGTAATCCCAACACCAGGAGGTGGAGGCGGGAGGATTGCTTGAGCACAGGAGTTCAAGACCAACCTGGGCAACATAAGGAGACTCTGTCTCTGCAAAAATAAAAAAATTAGCTGGCAGGGTGGTGTACACCTGTGGTCCCAACTATATAGGAGGCCGAGATGGGAGGATCCCTTGGGCCTAGGAGGTCAAGGCTACAGTGAGCTATGCTTGTGCTATTGTACGCCAGCCTGGGTAACAGGGCAAGACTCTGTCTTAAAAAAAAAAAAAAAAGAGAGAGAGAGAGAGGGTAGACTTAGCTCCAAGTCTGGAGCTTTTGTTTTTTTTTTTTCTTTATCAAATTTTTTTAACTTTATAGAAATGGGATCTCACTATGTTGTTCAGGCTTGTCTTGAACTCCTGTTTAGCACCACCTCTAACAAGTCTTGGGCAGCTCCTCTCCCCTCACTTGTCTGGGATTCTGTGGTGCTTCCCTAAAGTGCTCATTCTGGGCTAATATGGGGTAGGGTTGGAGAGAGAACAGAGGTGAATAGCTGCCAGAATGAGGTGGGAAGGTGAGGATCAGCAGCCTTTGGGAAGGAAAGAAGTATGAGCTCCTGGGTGCTAAAAGGTGGAGGAGCAATAAAACTTATTACATATGGGATTCATGCTAAATTAGTAGTTTTTTTAAGATTAAAAGAAGAGTAGAGGAGTATCCCCCCTCAAAAAAAAAAAGAAAGAAAGAAAGAAAGAAAGAAAGAAGGCCAGGCACGATGGCTAACGTCTGTAATCTCAGCACTTTGGGAGGCCAAGGTGGGAGGACCACTTGACCTCAGGAAGTCGAGACCAACCTGGGCAACAAAGTGACACCCTGACTCTAAGATAAGTAAAAAATAAATAAAAAGCTAGAATGGCCATAGTAGCAGGGGACATTGTGAGGAAGAAAAACTTAAAGCCTAGATTAAGAAGGCAGACCTAGAGTCAAGTCCAGTATTCCATAGCTTACTTTTTTGTGCCTACATCCAGTTATTTAGTTCCTTTTAATCTCTGTTTCCCTGCCTATAATATGTGAACAATAATCATAGCTACCTAGCAAAAGAGACTATGCACATACTGCCAAAAATAAAGGTCCCTGAGACAGCTGTTATTATTTATAAGGTCCTAGTGTCAGCACAGAAAAGAGTATAGCAGTTCACTGTCTTGGGAGATGGAAGTGGACTGGAAGGGAGGGTGGAGAGCAGGAGAGCCTTCAAAGAGGAGATAGCTCAGGGGACAGATCCTTAAAAAACACAGATTGCCCAGTGGAATAAAGTAGTGGTTTTATTGTTTTGTATTGTTTGCAATCTTTTCCTAGCTTCATCTGAATTCTGAATTATCTGAAAGGAACATAGCCAAAGCTGGGCTGCAATAGCCATACAAAAACCTTGATTGGGCACTGGCAGTGCTTCAACAGCAGTGTTCAACACTTCACGTGACCCAGCCACTTAAATAAATGAGCCTTTACCTGATCCTTTTCTCCCTCTGTATTTGTTGTAAGAGGAAATCAAAAAACGAGAAATAAATTTAAAATGAGCCAAGACTTGCAAGAGGGAGAGAGAAAAACAGGAGAGAGCCCCTCCTATTATTCCTAGCCCAGGAAAAGCCTTACAGATTCCCTGGATATCTTTATGTCATATTTTATAACTCATGAATTCAATTTTTTTAAAGGCTATACATAGGCCATCTAAAAGTTCTCAGCACTACTGACTGCTATTTGAGGAAAATGCTTGGACGTTGGTCACTTATGCATACTTAAAGAGCATTCAATAATCATTTAGCAAGCACCTACTTTATACCAGGTGTTACACTAAATACCAAGGAGTCAAAAGAGAATAAAAGAGAAGCAGACATGTAAACAATTAATCTCAATGCAATTTGGTAGAAATTTATACTTATGCCATGGAAACAGAAAAGAAGCAAGGCTTAATTCTGTCAAATTGGTTGAGGTAGAGACTCGGGCACAGTCACGGGGGCCAAAGAAAGCTTCACTCTTAAAAGTTAAGGTTAAGACTAAGTTTCAATAAATGAGTAGGAATATTCCATGCAGAGACAGAAGCAAGACTGGCAGTAGGAAAAGACGATTGGGGGCAGAGAACAGCTTGTGCAAAGTCGAAGAGGTAGGGTAGATACAAGAAAAGTAGAGGCCACTGAAGTTATAGTCTTATAAGTAGTCATTAAATATTAGTGGCTGATAGGAATAACTAACTCATACAGCTAGACAACATCACTCTATGTAAACCATCATTGAGTTCCTGTCCTCTGGTAGCTGGGTGTTAACTTCAGATTATATTGGTAAGGCAAAATGTGATCCCTCCCAAAGACTATTATTTAATCATTATTAGTAGAAAGGAGTAGCTTAGATTATTTTTTCCCAGTAGAAGGCATTAGCCTAAAATATATTTTTGCCTCTAAGCTGTCAGTGAATTTGCACTAGTGCATTCATACAATCTGCCATCCCCCTCCTGCAACCCATCTTCATGTTCCTTTTAACTACCTGGTTCAAACCTTGGCTTACTTCCACGCTTAGAATCACCCGAGCTAATTAAAAGCGTAGCGAAAGACACAAAGGCACCAAGACAGCTGAGCAAACATTAACAAATGTGTAGAGTAAATAAAGTACTTATATTATGTGTAAGCAATGGTGCATATGAAACTTGGGTGACACTAGGAAGAGTGAGTCAGAAGATGTTCAAACAGTAGGATCAAGGGAAATCTCTCTGCCAGTTAGCAATATCTTTTAGGATGACAAAAAGGAACCTGGTTAGCAGGGAAAAGTAGCCAAGGTTTGCATCCCAAAGGAGCCTGAAACTCTGATGCAAACTTGGTAGTAGGAAACAATTGTTTAAAGTTGTGAAGATATTGGCTTACTTGATGCCTAAGGAGCTAAATAAGAACCGTCAAGAAACCCCAATGCTGGATGGAGTTTGGCGGGGGAATAGTTAACATTTAGTGTTCCTTGTGTGACTAGCAACACGATGGGCCCTTTACATCTGGTTTTTTGTTTGTTTGTTTGTTTGTTTGTTTTCTTAACCATTACAGTAAAACTATAAGGTGGTCATCACGTGAAAGAAGAGGAAACATAGGCTCAGTAGTTCAAGAGTGTCAGAGGCAGGATTTGAAGCCAGAATTGTCTGATTCTAAGCCCTCTCTCTTGCCTACCTTCAAAGGCTCTAAACCAGCGGGACTGTTTACACCAGCGTGAGAGTCGTAATGTCCTGGGTGAGGCACTGTGAGAAGGTGTGATCCAAATATCACAAATAAAGGGTAAAGAGACCTATGGAAGACTATACAATTGTTCCCAAACACTCATTGTGCCTCCCAGAATTGGATTGTACTTTCCCATTGATAGCAGGCTTGTGTGTGACTTGCATTAGCTAATGAAATGTAGGTGGCAGTATGAGCCACTCCCAGCTGGAAGCTGTGCCAATGTGCTGCACCATGTTTTCCTTTCCTGCTGCCCTCATGACCAGCAACACTCCGGATAGAAGCTAATCCATCAGCCTCAGTCCCAGAGTGAAGACAATGTGCAGCAAAGCCACAGCTGACCTGGGAAGGATACAGCGTAAGCGAGAAAAACAACCTTTGCTGATTGGGCCACTGAGGTTTGGGGGGGTTGATACCGTAGCACAAAAGAGCCTAGCCGGGCGCAGTGGCTCACGCCTGTAATCCCAGCACTTTGGGAGGCCAAGGCGGGTGGATCATGAGTTCAGGAGTTCACCCCATCTCTACTAAAAATGCAAAATTTAGCCGGGCATGGTGGCAGGCACCTGTAATCTCAGCTACTTGGGATGCTGAGGCAGCTTGCTTGAACCTGGGAGGCGAAGGTTGCAGTGAGATCATGCCACTGCACTCCAGCCTGCGTGGCAGAGTGAGACTCCCATCTCAAAATTAAAAAAAAAATTAAAAAACAGAGCCTATACTGACTAATGCAGATACCTTCTGAATCTTTCTCTTTAGTGACCAAAATTTTTAGTGTCATCTTCAGGTAGAAAGATTGGTTGGGGATTATGAGAAGATACAGGGAATGGGATGACTGGTGTACTATAGTGAAAGGCAAAAATGCAGGATTTGAGGCAGGACATGGTGGCTCACACCTGTAATCCCAGAGCTTTGGGAGGCCAAGGCAGGAGGATCACTTGAGGCCAAGAGTTAGAGAGCCCACCTTGAGCAACATAGTGAGACAGTGCCTCTAAATTAAAATAAAATAAAAATACAGAATTTGAAACTCAGTCAGTCTTTATTTGTGGGCTCAGACAACCCTTTATAAGAAAGTGCCACGGACCATGTCATGCCCCAGAAGCTGGGGAACTTACGAAGAATGTTAAGATACAGCTCCTGGTTTTCCTTTATTATTATTTTTTAAATAGAGGCAAGGTCTCATTACGTTGCCCAGGCTGGTCTCAAACTCCTGGCCTCAAACAATCCTCCTGCTGATCTCCTAAAGTGTTAGAATTATAGGTGTGAACTACCATGCCCAGCACAATCCGTGTTTTTGAGAAAGGACCATACTCATTTGCTTCTAAACCTAGCAACCCAATACTGTATGTGGCAGCCTCTAGGCACTAAATAAGTAAATTTTTATCAAAGTGATGCTATGGAATAATTTAGAACTGTAACTGAAGTCCCCTAACTCCCCACAAAGGCTCTTCCTGTGTTGTAACGTATTGCTAACTTGGGTTTGGGATTATTAGTAGCTAATTTTTATATAAAACTTTATGTATACCTAATTTATTTGAAATGCCACACAAATGAAAAATATCCAGAACATCAAGATCTGCAGGGCCTGGAGCATGGTAAGTATTCAGTAAAGGCACTCAGTCCTCCCTGCAGGAATCACAAAGCACGGAAAACTCTGGAGAGCCCAACAGACATGGCAATGAGAAATCTAGCTTGAAGTGCACTGGGGACCAAGTTTTTCATGGGACCAGATTAAGAGAACATGTAGGTGAAGATTAAATTTAGGCAAACAGGCTGGGCATAGTGGCTCATACCTGTAATCCCAGCATTTGGGAGGCAAAGGTGGATGACTTGCTTGAGCCCAGGAGTTCAAGACCAGCCTGGACAACATGGTGAAACTCTGACTCTGGAAAAAACAAAACAAAAAGTATCCAGGTGTGGCAGTACATGCCTGTAGTCTCGGCTACTTGGGAGGCTGAGGTGGGAGGATCACTTGAACCCAAAAGTTTGAGGCTGCAATAATTCATGCCACTGTACTCCAGCCTGAGCAACAGAAAAAGACCTTGTCTAAAAAAAATTAGACAAACATAGGTGCAAATTCCTAACACTTTCTAGGCATTTCTAAAGCTTACTGGGCAGTAATTGAAAAACCAAAAACCATCTGTGGAATGTCCTTGATAGTACTGAAGAGAGTCCTGAGAACTAATTAGGACTGCTCAGATATGTGGATCAGTTCTTCAAAACTAGGAAGAGATTCAACCTGGTGTTTCTACTATTCACTTAAAAAGTGAAGATACTGCAAACATAACAGGCATCTGATTCTGGAGTATGACAGTGTTGGCATAATTAGAAATTGGGGACCAGGCACAGTGGCTCATGAGCGCCTGTAGTCCCAGCACTTTGGGAGGCTGAAGCAGGTGGATTGCTTGAGCTTAGGAGGTCTCAACCACACTGGGCAACATAGCAAAACCCCATCTCTACAAAAAATACAAAAATTAGTTGGATGTAGTAGCATACACCTGTAGTCCCAGCTACTAGGTGGATCATTTGAGCCCAGAAGTGGAGGCTGCAGTGAGCCCGATCTTGCCACTGCACTCCAGCCTGGGCAACAGAGACTCTATCTCCAAAAGTGTGAGAGAGAGATGAAACAAGACTGGCAAAATATCGATGTCTGTATAAGTTGAGAGGAGGGAACAATGACTTCTGTCAGAAACAGGAAATAGAAAAAGGAAGTAATTTATATTAATGGGCCAGGTGCAGCAGCTTACGCCTGTAATCTCAGCACTTTGGGAGGCTGAGGCAGGTGGATCATGAAGTCAGAAGATCGAGACCATTCTGGTCAACATGATGAAACCCTGTCTCTACTAAAATATAAAAATTAGCCAGGCGTGGTGGTGCACACCTGTAGTCCCAGCTATTTGGGAGGCTGAGACAGGAGAATTGCTGGAATTTCCTGGGAGGCGGAAATTGCAGTAAGCCGAGATATCTCGCCACTGCACTCCAGCCTGACAACAGAGCGGGGCTCCGTCTCAAAAATATCTAAATATTATATATATATATATATCCCCATAATCTAAGAGTTGAAGATTATCCTCCTCATTTTATAGGCAAGGGAAACTGAGGTCACTTGCTAGTGAATGGCAGTATAATCCATGACTCTGAAATCCCTCCTTTTGCTAACACACCACACAGACTGCTTAAATATGTCTTCTCAGATTCTATTTTAGTGAAAATGGAGAAGAGTTGCTTTACTATTTAAAGGAAACCTATTTGTAATTCCTATATCTTTCACCTTTCCTAAAGGATCTCATTTCTACCTTTTAGCAATGATTTTGAATACTTACTGACTTACGCTGTTTTCATTATATCTCATCTAAGTTTATGATTCATACATGGCTTGCCCCCACTTTAGTATGGTAGAATAAATGAGAAAAGTTTCTTTTTGTAATGATTCTCAAAGCAAAATATGCTGAAAAGGCATGTGTGCGTTCACACGTGAGCACACACACATACAAACACACACACACATGCAAAACAAAGCTTCTTTTATGTCCTTAAGTACAGTATTTCTATTTTTTAACTGTTCAGCAGTGAATTTATGGCCTACGATGTCCACTGCCCCCATCCAATCTCTTTTTCTGCAGTGTTAAGTATAGCCAAGCTTAACTCTTCTAGTGGGGCTTCTTGTTCCTTGCTACCATGAAATATGCCACTCTTGTTTCTACAAATTTCATCTGGATTTGATCTTTTTATAAAATGATATTTGCTAGAAATGCTGGTGAAATGAATATTCATTCAATAAACATTTATTAAGTGCTACTTCTAGACTAGGTATTGTGCTAAGGGCTGGGAGTACAAAGATAAAAGCAGTAGTTAGGGGGTAGTATAGCATAATAGCGATTAAGAGTATGGGCCCGGCCAGGCTTGGTGGCTCACACCTTAATCCCAGCACTTTGGGAGGCCAAGGTGGACGGATCATGAGGTCAGGAGTTCAAGACCATCCTGGCCATGGTGAAATCCCATCTCTACTAAAATACAAAAAATTAGCCAGGCGTAGTGGCGTGCACCTGTAGTCCCAGCTACTCAGGAGGCTGAGGCAAGGGAATAGCTTGAATCTGGGAGACAGAAGTTGCAGTGAGCCAAAATCATACTGCACTCCAGCCTTGCGAAAAAGTAAGACGCCGTCTCAAAAAAAAAAAAAAGAGAGAGAGAGAGAATATGGACTCCATCCAGTAAGGTGGAACACAAAAGCACAACTTCACTCTCCCCTCCCCCACAAAAACTTCTTGCCACAAAACTCCTTCTCAGAGTCTTTTTTTCAAGGAATCTAACCTAAGACATCATGAATGATACTAACCATAATTTGCAATAGAAAAATATCATTTACGTATATAATGTTGAAACCTGGCGGCCAGGCACAGTGGCTCACGCCTATAATCCCAGCACTTTTGGAAGCCAAGACGTGAAACCCATCTCTACTAAAAATAAAAAATAAAAACAAAGTAGCTGGGCATGGTGGCATGCACCTGTAATCCCAGCTACTCAGGAGGATGAGGCAGGAGAATCACTTCAACCCGGGAGGTGGAGGTTGCAGTGAGCCAAGATTGTGCCACTACACTCCAACCTAGACAACAGAGCAAGACTCTGTCTTAAAAAAAAAAATTAAAAAAAGGAGCAACCCAGCTATGAAGGGCTAGCTAAGGGAAATACACATTAATTTATTCATTAAACCATCACAATGCATTTGTCCAACATTGTATTAAATAATATTCTGTATTTCCTTATTCTAAGTCTTTGTTGTGCATATAATCTTGGATAGATGCATTTAATGTTTTAAATGTAGAAAAACTTCAGATATGCGAGTAACATAATGAATCCTCATATACCCATTGTCCAGTGTCAACAGTTATCAGATACCCCCCCTTTTTTTTTTTTTTGAGATGGAGTTTTGCTCTGTGGCCCATCCTGGTGTGCCGTGGTGAAATCTCAGCTCACTGCAACCACTGTCTCTCGGGTTCAAGTGATTCTCCTGCCTCAGCCTCCCACATAGCTGGGACTACAGGCACATGCCACCACACCAGGCTAATTTTTGTATTTTTA